GAGGACATTTACCAGGTCGGAATCCAATTGGACACCTCTGGTATATGGAAGAACGGGAGATTAGCAACATGAAACTGCGTCATGCAATCGTGTCAAAAAGGACCAGAATCTCAAAAGGAATGTTTGTGGAATGTGGAAACCATGATACCAAATAACGAGGCTGTTTTGAGGAAAAAAAAAAAACGGGAGGCCCTACCCTCCATACCTCGTATTAGTATACTGTTTCTAAACAATTGCTTGGAGAGTGTAAAGTTATTCCAGTGAGTTCTTAGCAGCAGAGATTCTGCAGATGTAGAAGAAAAGATTCTGACATAGGATGGGCCAGGCTTTGTTGTCAGATAATGCAAAACATACAGGTCTAGGCAAAAAGCAGTGCACAGAACAAAGCAGAGCCACCGACAGCCATACAGAATTCATTCTACTGCCAGGTGGATTTTAGGTAGTAATAGTTAGCCACGTTCAACTGGGTTAAAGATGAGCGGGTGAAAAATGAACGTGAAGCCAATGCCCAGTTTAGGGATTAGGGTTGCTACCTGTCCAGGATTCACCTGGAAAGTCCTGTTTTTGAGTCCTGTGTCTGGGTTTCAGGCCAGCTGACAAAAATGTAAAATTTTTGATAGGAAGATGGAAGAGGAGATGTGCCGGCCCGCGGCTCACAGGAAGGCTGCCGAGGTCTCCAGCAAGCGTGGGACCTTGGCAGCCTTCCTGCGAGCCACAGGCGCATGTAAGCAGGTGCCCATGAGAGCCTCCACAGCTCATCTGTGAGCCCGCAGAGTCCACCTGAGAGCAAGCACAGCCCTGATGAGTGCCCACACAGGCCACCTGAGACCCTGGAGACATCAGGGAGCCCCCCGGAACAACACATATGTTGCTTGATATTTATTTTGTATTGCTGTATAATGTATTGCTGGAACTTGTAGTCCTCTATAGCCAGTCTCCCTCCCTTGGCACGCTCCCTTCCGAACATCTGAAGAGTCTCTGGCGGCCGCAAAGGATTTTGGGGCGGGCGCATGTGCACTTCAGATGTTTGGCCAGGAGCAGTGGAGCAGTGGCGTCACAAGGGGCGTGCGGCCCGCACCCGGGGGACACCATTGGAGGGGTGACACCAAAATGACACACAGTCATTTTGGTGTCACCCCCCTCTGAAAAGTCGGGCGCTCAGTCATGGACCGAACGCCCGACAGTATCAGGAGAGAGGAGGGGACCTGACGACATACCTTATCCCACCAGGTGACTGTCCCCTCTTCTCTCTGCCGGCGTCCATCACCAAGATGGCCGCCGGCAGGTATCAGAATACTGCCGCGCGATGACGTCATCGAGCATGTGCGTGGTGACGTCACGCGAATGCACAGTGACGTCTCGGCGGGGTGACACTTGGTTACCGCTCCGGGTGTCACCCAGCCTCGGGACGCCCCTGGCCGGGAGACGAGGAGAGACGCAAGGTAAGTCTATGGAGCAGCGTGCACCCGCGCAGAGTCCGTGGGACATGAGAGAAAAGGAGGACAGACGAGTCAGCGATGGATCGGAGACCAGCACCAGCGCTGGAGGGTAAGCTGAAAGGAACAGGAAAGAAGAAGATCGAATAAAGAGGCATCATTTAAGGTAAATCCTCACACAGCATGGTGGGGGTGGGGGTGGGACTTTTGACTTTAATGTCACTTTAATGTCTCCCAAAATACATCAGGCAATACAAATGGCAAACACATTTATCAATTCATAACTAGCGTTAACCCGTTCATGAACAAAGCCTTTTTTTCGTTTTTTGCACCCATGTGATAATCCACATTTTAGGCCTGAAAACCCCCAAACAATATATATTTTCTGAAAGCCAAGACCTTGTAGAATCAAATGGTGGCAGATGCAAATTTTTATGTTGCACGATATTAGCGCAACTTATTATCAAACACAAAAATTTAGTGAAAAATGCAATTAAGTAAAATTTAGTGCCCCAAAACACAATAAAATACAACTTTTTTTAATAAGATATATAAAAGATGAGGTTAAAACGAGTAAATAGATACCCAACATGCCCAGGTAAAGAATTGTGTGCGTCTGTGAAACGGCAACAGAATTCAGTACCCCAAAAAGTCAGTAGATGGCGCTTTAAAAGCCCCCACAGGTCATCAGTTTTGAGATATGCATAAATTTTGGCCCTAGAATTATTTCTCTCACTCTGGCGTGCGCGGTGATACCCAACATGTATATCACGATCGTGTTTTTCATAGGCGCACCCGACACCTGTTTACGTTATGACGCGCGTGCTCACGGGGGACTTAAAAAATGTTACAATTATTTTTACATTTATTTAATTTGATACAATTTTTAAAAACTGTTATTTTTAATTTTTTTTACTTTAATTGCTATCACATAGGGGGATTACAAGCACCCCCATGTGATAGCAGATTGGTGGAGACAGGTACTCTTTAAGGTGATACTGGGGGTCCAAAGACCCCCTAGTAACACCTTTCCACTTTAAATAAGCTATTGAAGTGCAGACCGCATCTCAATAGCTTATAGCTGGGCTTCAGGAGCCCAGCACTGACAGCTATGGGAACGGAATAATGCAATACGCGTCTCTCCCATTCCCATAGAACAGGGAGATCTGTGAATGGACGTTCACCGATCTCCTCTCCAGCTTCCTACTGACACCAGAGAAGCCAGTCCCGGGCCCATAGGAGGGGCAGCGAAGCCCAGGAAACACGGAGGGGGTGTTGGGCGAAGGCGGCCCGTTTACCAGCCCGGAGAAGCGATCTGGCGGCAGCTGAGTTGCCAGAATCGCTTCTATTGTAAAGCCAACAGTCGGCTTTACAAATGTGAACAGGGTCCCGCCGGGAGTTTGTTTAAACGGGCCCGGTGCCAGTGACATACTATGGACGAGATTAGTTGTTGCAGCCCTAGGTTAAAGTAAGGTGCACATTATTAGTAAGGGCTTTACACAGTACACAAGCAAAGAGTTTCCCAGCACACTTAAAGGAGAACTATGAGGTGAGTGCTTTTCACTCACCTCATAGTTCTAGCCGACCTGTGACAATGAGACTGTCACAGGTCGGCTCAGTAGATCGGGAGGTGAGCGAACACATACCGGCGTTCGCTCACCTCTCGATCCTGTCACGGCTCTCTGCCGTGACAGGGGAGGGGCTGGATTCCCCCCTCCCCGCTCCGATCCGCCAGCGCTGACTGGCGGAACGGACGGGGGAGGGGGCAGGTACAGCTGGCTCTGCCTCTAGATAGGCAGAGCTAGCTGTCAGTCACAATTGTCGGGATCCGCTTCAGCTGCGGCGTCTCAGTATACCGCGACCAGCAGCTTGCGGTATACTGCGGCGTCTCAAGGTGGCCATACACTTTACAACCATCGCAAGACCTTAGTCTTGCAATACAGGGGAGGGGCTGGATTTCCCCCTCCCCGCTCTGATCCGCCAGCGCTGAATGGCGGAACGGACGGGGAGGGGGCGGGTACAGCTGGCTCTGCCTCTAGATAGGCAGAGCCAGCTGTCAGTCACGCAGCTGGGCGGATCCCGGCACAATTTTCAGGATCTGCTTCAGCTGCGGCGTTTCAGAGCTACAGCTCGCGGTATACTGAGCTTAAGGTGACGGGAGGATGCTAGTTTGCATCCTCCTGTTACCCTAAGGAGAACAATGGGGAAAAGCCTTAACCCCATAGTTCTCCTTTAAAGGAGAACTATGGGGTCAGACTCATCTCATAGTTCTCCTTTAAGAGTACCAGCTAGCCAGAAAATAATGACCCTGTCTAACTTTTAGGGTTAAAAACAGAGGTTTTAATTGCACAGCTTTTGCAATATGTGGATGCTGCCCTGCCTCGTCAAAACCCCTCTGTGTAGGGCGGTCCTTACTCTAATCTATGAGAGCCTCCATTTTAAGGTTGCCACCTTTTCTTCAAGCCAAACCTGAACACAGTAGCTGCTCGTGGCAATTGTTTTGTAAAGTATACACTATGCATATATTTTGTGATTAAGTACCATTGAAACTAAACACGATGAGGGGAATTCATCAAAACTGGAGCAGACAAAGTCTAGAGCAGCTGCGCATGGAAACCAATCAGCATTCACCTTTCATTTTCAAACCTTAACTGAACAAACTGAAGAGAGAAGCTGATTGGTTGCCATAGGCAACTGCTCCAGATTCTTCTGCTCCACTATTGATAAATTCCCCCCAATGTATCACAAATCATGTGGGAGATGGAAGCCAGTGCAGGGATCGGCAGAGGGGGGTTGAAGACACTGGATCCTGTCTGCGTCTGAGATAAAAAACACGCACCCCTACGGACCTGCAATTGAGGTGAGCGTACGGCCGTAGTCCCATAGAGAAGGATGGGGGCTGCGTACTAATCACATGCAGCACCTGTCCTTCTCGGGAGCTGCCCGATACGGCTGTGTACGCAGCACGGAGCTGTACGTTCCGGCCGATTCCAGTGTGAATGAGGTCTAAAAGGTATGGACATGGACGGGAGGAAGAGTCTGCAGGAGCCAGAGCACTGCACCCATTATCCACGGATTGCAGTTGCAGTGCTTTACTGGATCCAAAGCAAAAAAAAAAATCACTTTTTTTTTTTTTTTATGAAGTGTGAATTTTATATTTTTTTTTTTGTGGAAGTTCCCTTGAAGTGTCTTCTTTTGCATGTTCTTTAAAAAGCGCTTCCCAAGTGACAGGGCCTCTTTAAACATGATATTTCCATAGAAGTCTATATTATAATGAAGTTGGGGAGGAAAAAGAGAGACAGAGGGATTTGGTTCTACCTAAGGGACAGTTGGAAGCTACGCCAGCATTTTCCTAAGCAGGTTGAAGTGTGTTTATAGTTCGGTGATGTGAGCGGCTCCCATGTATAAATCAGGACATGTTTACAAGGAAACCTGAACAGGTCCCCATGGCAACGCGCACTCGTTTACGTACTTCCTACCCATCTCCGCAGAGCTATCGATGCGGCCGGCTTTCGACCGACCCAGCCTGGAATGGATCGCGAAGGTCGGCGATCTCCTCTGGTCACGTGGGGCAGCGGAGAAGAGCCTGTCATGGCGGCGCGCAGCGCTGCATCTCGTGGCCTGTTCCAGGAAGCGGTGCGGGCGGTGCTGGGGAGCTGGCCGGTGCTGCAGGTCACACGACACTTGTCATAGAGTCCCGCTTGACGCTGCCACATATTTCAAAGATTTTTTTTTATTTTTGACTTAACTTTATTGAGCAATCTGTGTATTGGGGGAGCTAGTAGTACCCCTCAATTTCTACATTTTTTTTTTATATGTGTGACCCATTAGGGAGATTTCCCTTTACTTCACTCCCTGCTGTCTAGTGCTTGGTTGGAGGCCGAGCTCATCAGAACCGGTAAGAAGCCTGTCAGTTCTGGGCCAATCGGCTGGGGCATCTCCCACCCTGCAGGTGCATGTAAACAAAAGGGGCTGGATGTTGGTGACTATAGTGAGCTTATATGGCCATATAAGGCCAATGATGTCACTAGCATCCTACACCTTTGTTTACATGCAGTTGCTGGGCAGAGAATACCCCAGCCACAGCTGATTGGCCTAGAACTGACATGTTTCTTGTGGGTTCGGATTAGGGATGCACCAATACCGACACTAGTATCGGTGCCAATGCTGAGTATTTGGGCAAATCCTTGTACCCGCCCAAATTTTCCGACACCAATACTTCCGGTCAGAGGGAGATCTCCCTCTGACCGGCAGTGCCGAGGGAGCATGGAGTCGGTTTCCTTTCCAATCAGGAAGCTGGGCAATGGGTTATGACTCGCCTTCCAGCTTCCTGATTTACTATGAAGCCGACTTCATGTGTTGCTAAGCAGCCTGGCTTCCTAACCAATCAGGAAGCCGGCTTCACTTGTTCCTAGGCAGCCTGCCTTCCTGACCAACTAGGTAGTCAGGAGTCAGATCATGACGTGCAGCCCGGCTTCCTAATTGGCTAGGAAGCCACCGCCCTGTGTTGCTAAGCAGCTTGGCTTCCTGACCAATCAGGAAGCCAGACAGCACCTCATGACTCACCACCCGGCTTCCTGATGGGTCCGGGAGCCAGGCAGCCAGTAATCTTTCGCTAGAGCACCAGCTTCACAGGCAATCAGGAAGCAGACAATGGGTCATGTTTCACCGGCGGACTTCCTGATAATCAGGGCAAAAGGCATCGGTACTCGGTATCGGCGAGTACCGAAGAAAATAATTGATACTCGTACTCTATACCGAAAAAAACGTACTGGTGCATCCCTAGTTCGGTTGGGCTCAGATGAACCCAAACTTAACTCATGTTAGTGCGCAGTATTACAGAATGTGAGCAGAAATCTCTATTTTCATGTTACCAATAATTCCTCTATTCTCATTGGGCCAATAGTGTAACATCCGGAGTAGCTCAAAGAACATTTTCTTTTAACAATAAATATATTGTTTCATGTTCACAGATCGCTGTAGAGAATTGCTTCGGGGGTCCTTACGTCCAGGAGAAGGCAGAATGGATGGTGGGAGCTGTGGATCAGTATTTCCATACTAACTGTAAGTTTGAGTCCCTTGTTTCCCTTTGAGGGCCCAGTGACACCATCAAGTGAAATGGATAGAGGCCTCCAGTGCCAAACAGCTCCCAGAAGTTATTCTCTTTTAGGACTGTGTTGGCCGATTTTTCCAGTGCAGCTTGAAGGCAAGACAATTTGCCTTGTCATGGGTGGGCTCTCTCGTGAATGGGAGGGAGGAAGGGGACTCTCTCGTGAATGGGAGGGAGGAAGGGTGACTCTCGTGAATGGGAGGGAGGAAGGGTGACTCTCTCGTGAATGGGAGGGAGGAAGGGTGACTCTCTCGTGAATGGGAGGGAGGAAGGGGGACTCTCTCTCGTGAATGGGAGGGAGGAAGGGGGACTCTCTCTCGTGAATGGGAGGGAGGAAGGGGGACTCTCTCTCGTGAATGGGAGGGAGGAAAGGGGACTCTCTCTCGTGAATGGGAGGGAGGAAGGGGGACTCTCTCTCGTGAATGGGAGGGAGGAAGGGGGACTCTCTCTCGTGAATGGGAGGGAGGGGGCAGGTCTGACTCCTGAATGAGAGTCTGATTCATTATAACCACCTGGTGCACTTTGTGTTCTAATGAGGAAAGTTGCAGTGTCTGCATCATAGTTACATTGTTACATAGTTAGTCAGGTTGAAAAAAGACACAAGTCCATCGAGTCCAACCTATAGAGATGAGAAAAAAAAAGATGAGAAAAAGAAAGAAAAACCTAACGAACGCCCCGCCCACAATTACCCCCTGTTGATCCAGAGCATCCCTTTAGAAGTGTTAACCCTCAGGAAGTATCGCACCAAAAATTTTATTTCTATTGCAGGGGATGCCTGAGATTCAACTAGCACCTTAGTGCCGACTTCAGTGAGCCAAAGTGCACCAGCAGGAAATGACATTTCTGGGGGCATTCTGCACATCAACAGTCTACAGGACACCCCCAGGGTGCCATATTGCATTTCATTTTTTGAACAGTTTTAGAAGATTACAGCGGTCCCAGATTGAAATGGTCATTTCTAATATCAATAAATTACAAGATGACTTGTGTAGCAATTTTATATGCTATATTTTATTTACAAAAACTGGAATTTTCCATTAAGGTGGTCCCAGTTCTGCCCCCTTGAGGTCTTCATTCATATTTTGTTTTCTCTTGCAGCTGATTTGGATCAATATGAGGTAGAAGAGACCCTACAGGCAATATTGAATGATGAGTTTGATACAGTCGTGGAGGATGGGAGTTTACCTCTTGTAAGCACACTAAGCATTGAAGATTTTAAATGGCTGTTCTTTCTCCCCTTACTTGTTCCTCCCCCCCAAAAAAAAAATGTTTGAGCCGAGAAAAGTTATTATTGATAGCATTAGACAGCTGTAAAGATTAATATAATTGTTGGGCCTCATCCCAAAGTCTATGATTGGGGACACTGGGAGTATTTACACAAGCCACCTCCGCTGCTTCAACTTTCCTCATAATATCCACTTCCCACTGCCTCCAATCAGTTTTATATGAGATAATTCTTTTATACGTAAGCCACAAAAAAAAACAACTTTGTGTGACCGACACTATACCACAGTGTCTGTTGATAGACATAAAGGTCAATAAGTTGTTGAGATATCGATTCTGGAGAATTAAATGTAACCAAAAAAGGGTCCAGTTTCCACTGCCTCTGGGCTATAGAGACACCAATAGGGCCCTCCTAACCCTATTGTATTGTAACTTTACTGTCAAGTGCTGCGCAAACTGTTGGCGCTATATAATAATACTAAGCTGAAGTATTAAAGGAGAACTATGGGGTCAGTGTTTTTTCCCATAGTTCTCCTTGGGGTAACGGGAGGACACAAACTAGCGTCCTCCCGTTACCCTAAGCTCAGTATACCGCGAGCATTAAAGGAGAATAATCAGATGAGGAACGTAAAACATTTCTGAAATAAAACTGCAAAGACAAATTGTTAGCTAATGCAAGGTCTATTCCTAGATCAAGAATTATGAGTACACGAATAACGAGAGTTATGGCATTCAGTGGGATGTACTCTTCTCCAAATATCAGATAATCTTATTTCCTCCAGATAATGAGCAAAAGGGCCAGCACCCGAGGAGCCACCCGGACCTTACAATGACTATCCAAAAAGTTAACGTCTTCCAGCACAGAGCGGATGCGGTACTGCAATGGCCCGATTTCCAGTGCAGTGTGATTTCAAAAAATGTGCATACCGTTTTATTCTGAAGTAAACTTTGTCTCTAACCCTGCATTTGGTTTATTTTAAATGATGGTATTAATTTTGGTAATTAGCATACCCATTCCCTCTAGAAAACTTGTTAAACAAGCGCTCTGTGTGAATAGATGTTTTGTGTAAAACTCTGTGTAAAAACTAATGTTCTTAGATATATTTTCTTTCAGGTCGAATATATGTAATACTGCATTATGGCCACTAGATAGAGCTGCAGAGCATAAGGAAATACTTAAAGTGACGCTAAGCTCAGGATTAAAAATACATTCAAGTCCCTTAAAGGAGAACTATGGGGTTAAGGCTTTTCCCCATAGTTCTCCTTTAGGGTAATCCACTATAGAGCCGCTGATTGCCTGTATGTGAAACAGCCGGTAACGGCTGTAAAGAACGGGCAGGTTTTTTCTGCCCTTGCGCGCACAGGAAAAATATGCCATCTGATGACGGCAACCGGCCCGTGTGAGTCTGCCGTCCATCCTTTTTTCACAACGGCGGAAGGCAGGAGGTTAAAGGCTGCATATATGGATGAGCCCTAGTTTGAGGTGTTTGGTTCATTGAGCAGAACTTGTGTAAGCAAAATGAATACTGGAGAAGTGCTGTAAGTGGGATTCCAGAAACAAATCTCCCCGTTGCCGGGGGGCTGCGCCTGCACTGCAAGGGTAAGCTGCTCATTTAGGCATGGGGTACCTGAGAAAAGGAGATTTACTTGTCTGGTCCCCGCTTCTGCAGACTCCATGAACCGGCACCTGCAGCCTTTTGTCGCCTGTGCTCCGAAACGTTGTCAAGTACAATACAAGGTCCATAGCCCGGCATTATATATGATGACACTGAAGTATGGTCCACGAGCTGGAGCATTGGGGGACATGAGGTGATCGGGTAGGTTAAACTGCTTTACCCGGGTACTCTAAACAATAAAGCGGAAACTGGCCCAAAGGAGTTACTTTTTTGGCATGCCAACTGTCAGGGCTGCCTTTGTGCTTATTTCAACTCTCAACCCAACTTGCAAGCTCTCAAATGGTGTCATAGCTGATCACATGTGCAGCACCATTGGCAACGGCAATCCAAATAGAGGCCAAGATGACGCCTTCCTTGGCTGTAAAGGAGAGGAGGGTTCAGTTCTGCTTTAACAAGCAGTTAACCCTTGCAGTGCAGGGGGCTGTGTACCTCCTGTGCTCTACTTGTGCTGCATGGTTATCAGTTTGTTCTCAGCGATCTCTGATTATTCCCCTCTGTTATGGAGAAGAGGAGAGGGGAAGTTGCTGTGTAGTTCTGTCCCAGAGACAATGCTGCTCCTAGGACAGGAAGTGTTACCAGCTAGGATATGAATAGGTTACTGATTGCTCAACAATAGGATCAATGGGTA